ATAAATAATTGTACTTGGCTGAGGTCAACAATAAGATTGATTTATGACTTTTTTTTAGTGTTCATTTTGTCTTTCCTTCCTGGTTTTATGGTATCAGAGCCAAGGGTTGTTTGAGCGGACAGAATGGTCAAAACAGCCATGACTGGTGCATGCAGAGATGAGGATTCATGGGTCTCCACTGGACCTGTAAACCCATCTCTACAAGTACACCCATTTCACCTCCTCACCATCTTCCCACTGTCACTCTCTCTGAAAAATCTTATCTCCAAATTACCACCACTTAGCTGAATTGTAAAAAATTTCTCCAATGGTCTCGATCTGCTCTTATGGTTGTCCGTGGACGTGGATACCTTGGTTATGTAACTGGAACCTCATTAACACCGGCTGAAAGTGACCCAGCTTATGTAACCTGGGATGCGTAGAATTCAAAGGTGATGGCTTCGACTGTTAAATTCAATGGAAGAGGATACTGAAGGGTCTTATTTATATTACTCTATTGCACAAAATAAAATAAAATAAATTGGATACTCTTACAGTTGCCTTCTCCGATTTGGAGAAGAATAAGACACTGGATTTACTAAAGGAGACCTCGACGTCACCCTATATTACAATGCTCTAAAGCAACTATGGCGAGAAATTGATATGTTCATTTAAATTGATTAGAATAGTACTCCTAAAAGATGCTGAGAAATATAAGAAACAGGTGGAGGAGAGAGTTTATGATTTCTTTGCTCAGTTAGTTCCTGAATTAGATAAAGTAAGAGGCCGACTACTGGGCATCAAGCCACCACTAGTAATTGATGGGATTTTTACCGAGGCACATCGTGAGGCCAGCTGAAAATGTGTAATCTTGTCGAAATCCATCTCAGGTGACCAGAAAAATTAACTCATGGTGTGATCACTGCAAGTTTTTTTAATTGCTAGACACAATGTTTGTTACAACTCAATTTTCATAGTCGAAAATTCAAATGTTGACTAGTCAAGGTCAAAATCAATTAATGACTAAAATGAAATTAAATATTTTATTGGGGTTTATTTTGCAATTGGCAATATATGAGGATTAAATTGGATACAATTTAAAGTTGAGAATTTACTTATATATTTTTGGAAGTTTAGAATTAAAT